TGTGTTACATGCCCATCAGCTTTCTGTCCACCTGATTCATGGTACTGTAACCTTCTAGGCCTAATTTTGTACTTCGCTGCTCCAACCACAAAATAAACCATTTCTCCAAGGAGACCAGGTCAGAGCAAAAGTGATATAGAGAGTATTGAAACTCTTTAAAATTGTTCTAAGAATTTGAAGATGTCCAAGTATAGTGGATGTATGTGCTGCCCCGTGCACCAGCAATGTAGTTGGTACAGTTTTTTTTTTTAAATGTTGAGTTGTAGCTACAGGAGGCGGCATACATCTGTAATCTCAGTACTGAGAGGCTGAGGCAGGAGGACTGCTGCAAACTCAAGGCCAGCCTAAACTACATAGTGAGACCCAATCTAAAAACACAACACAACACAACAAAACAAAGCAAAATGTCATATTATAAAGCTGGGTTTAATAATATAACAGAAGAAAACAAGGTTTTGCATACCAGGAAAAATAGTCATCATAATTGCCACCCATTCTGATGGGCCCCCTTAAAAGTTTTCAAAATTTTAAAATTTTGGTTATTCTATTAACAATTTATAGACATAAGAATAAACAGATGATGAAAATTTAAAAAAAAATAATTTCATAATTGAAGCAATTTTTCCATATTTTCCCAGTTTGGGGATATTGTAAACCAAAGTGGCCCGTAGTACAACTGACTGTGCCCAACGGCTGTGTGCTCTCGGAACCGTTCCTTCGTCATGAGCATGGGTTCGCCTTGCTGCTAGGTTATGTCTCATCAGGATTTCTGGGTTTTCTTGCATGTACACTATCTCTGTGCAATCTTGTTGAAAAATTTAAAGGCTCATAACTTTGTAGGACATGGCAACTCTTTATCCCATGAGTCGAAAAATATTTTCATTGTCACTGAATTTTATTTCAATTTTGTCAGCGTTAGATTGATCAACCTAATGAGTGTTCTTTTATCGCCATACCTCTGTCCCTCAGATCGTGTTTGCCCATCACCACCAGTTGTTAATATGAGTCCTGCCAAGTCAGTTGTTACTCACAAGTGTCAGAGACAAGAGAGATGACACGCGACCTACTAAGACAGGGTGGGCCGGGGCCTTGCTGAAAAGCAGTAACTGATGACATGCTTCCTGCTGAATGACAGTGGGTTAGAAGACTCCGCGTCCTTTGATCTTTGTAAGGATCCGGTTGGCTCAGATTAGAGTTTGGGAAAATGGATTTCTCCTAACGGCTGGCAGCCCAATACTGTGCCTGTGGGTCAGCCCGACCCCTAGCAGGGCCCTAAGTGTTTTTAGCTTCCTTCTCACCACCTAATAGCTGCAGCATTTTCTGTGTTCATTTCTCTGTCTATTGTACTACAGGCAAAATAAAAATTCTGAATTCTTATCTGTGTTCAGAGAAAGCCAAAAATAAGGAAACAAAGATGATGTCTCTGAACTCACTTTATACCTTCTTGAAAAATGATGTACTTAAGACACACCATCTAAACAGCAAAGAAAAGCTAATAGCAGTGACTGACTTATTTATTCGATTCTATAGCTTTCTTTCTTCTTGTTATTTTATTTTTGAGTACTAAGCACTGCACGCAAGACCTTTACATTGAGCTGAATCTTCAGGACTTTTTTATTTTTTAGTTCAAGTCATTTTTTCACTAAGTCACCGATTTCCTGGGCTTGAACTTGGAATCTTCCTGCATCAGCTTCCCAAGTGCTGGAATTATAGCTGTGTGCCACCATGCCCAGCTTTATTATTTTAATTTTTAAAAACATAATTGGAAATAATTGATGAGCAACGATGAAATAATTCCTAAGATGATGAACCAGCAAAGCGTTTCAAGACATGGGAAGTGTAGGACCATTTACTTCCATAATGCATGATAGATTTTTAAAAAACAATCATTGGTCTTAAATATTAATCATAAAAATGAGATTTGTCTAATTAAACATAGTTTTTCTCTTTGATCTTTGGAAGACCTCTAAGAAATAATAAGATTCATAAAAACCTCTATAAATAAAGCTGCTCTACAAAGAAACTTATAAACTAAAATTGAATTCAGTGGATGCTGGTGTTATTGCCGAGGTTAAGAAGTCTGGTTCAATCATTCAAAGAATAAAGGATGCAAGAAATGCAGAAAAGGCCTCTTCTTCTTCCACTTGATCACGCCCCAGATCCCAGCAGCACACGCATGCCTCTTAATTTTCTTCTGTTTTTACCCAGAGACCATACTGTGTTTTGGGAGAATGGGCCAACATTCGCCTCTTCTTTATCTACAAATAACTAGGTATTTATTGAGAAATAATATAAGCTTATTGTATTTTTTTAGCTTATTGTATTAGTAACTGTACAATGTAACGCAATTACAAGGCCCTTATGTGTGTTTTTAGTACATTTATATTAAACACTGTACAAATGTAAGTTGTTTTCTTTCTTTTTGTTTCAAAAAGCCTTCAGGGGACAAGTGTGTAATCCTAACACTTGGGAGGCAGGAGGCTTGATGCTAGTTCAAGGTCAACCTGGGCTACAGGCTGTCAAAAAGCTAAAAAAAAAAAAAAATTCCTTTAGGAAGAGAAGATTCTGTTTCAATCTGTACATTCTTCTGTGTGGGCTCATTACTTTTTAACAAATGAAAAGGGGGGAAGTGAACAGAAAGTTTTGGGACACTTTGTAAGATTTAGTATTAGATTTATATTTACTTAATTTCATTTATGACTTTTGAAAACTAGCATGTAAGAAATAAATTTATTACTGTGTCTAAATTATCAGGATAACTGGTTCACAAGCTCTAAAACTTTCATGTGGTGCCATAGCTTTCACAGAGCAAAACATCTTTCTTTGGTTTTTTTGAGTTTATATTCCAAAAATTCTTACTGTACTTTGGTTTATCTCTTTCAATGTTAACAAAAATTTAAAACTTTCAATGCTTAACTTTCCCTCTCCTTTTGCTTGCTAGAGTCCTTTCACAATGACCTGAATAATCATGAATTACTAATCCCCTCCCTACTTTAATATAGTCTCCGCTTCATGTGTAAGAAAGTTCTGTTTCTTACAGAATTTTAGAGAATGAATTTGAAAGTTACATCCCCCTTCCCTTTGCTAACTATGTAGCTCACTCAGCAAAGTCAAAGAAATCTTAGATTTATGCACGAAAATAGTGCAGAAGTTGGCTTGGTCAGGCTCACTTAGGGTCTGATAGGAATTGAGCAGCAAATGTTGGTTCTAGCACCAGTCAGATCCGGCAGATACGCAGGGTGAGCCCGCACCGCACCCCTGTAGATACTGGCAGAGCTGGGACGGCCTGGTTTCCTTACCCCAAGGTGTGGGGTGTGGTCTGCGTGCGCACAGGCTGCCCTTGCAGGCTCACTTGTCTCTCGTGCTCATGCTAAGAACGAGAGTCAGCTTTCGGATGACGCTGGCGGAGACGCACCATAGAGGAAGCTCTGGGGCGGCGTGAGGCTGGCCCGCACGCTCTGCTCAGAGTGCCTTGCGGTGCTGCGTGTTCTGCGCTTCACTGTAACACCCTCCTCGCTTAATGACCTCACTGGTGGGTGACCGTTCAGTCTTACAGCTGAGGATGCGGTCCCCCTTCAAACCCACATTTGGACTTTCGACCCAGGACAGCGAGTGGCAGAGTGACCTTGAGGTGGCTTCTGTAGCACAGCCCTGCAAGTCTGCCGACTGCACCGAGCAGGGCGGTGCTGGGCCTTTATGTTCTGTCGAGCATTACTGTGCTGCACGCCGAGTTGCACAAACAAAAGCGAAGTCCGCGGGTTGGAGCCTCCTAGGACCACTTCTTTGTCTGAATACTGAGTTGTGCGTACCGTATAAATCCTCACTTAGCAGCGAACTTAATTAACAGCCTGGCCGTAGGAACGGAACTTGGTGGAAATGAGGAGTGTTTAAGAGACGCGTGCACGGGGCTGGTGTCCTTGTGGTGGCACTTCACGCCGCTTGGTCATTCATTGGCTTCCGGTGCCCTACGTCACAGACCCCAATCTCCCGTCTTCTCTTCCAGATCTTCATTAACAATGAGTGGCAGAACTCGGAGAGCGGGCGAGTGTTTCCTGTCTATAATCCAGCTACAGGAGAACAAGTGTGCGAGGTTGAAGAGGCAGACAAGGTATGGCTTCCCCGGGGAGAGTGCCGCAGTGGCCGCAGAGCGCCACGCACGCCCCCACCAGACCGCTGCTCCCTGCGGGCGTCACTGGCTTTGTTAAGTGCTTCTGTTTCTTGGTGCATGTCCGCACGCGTCATGACCAAGCCCTCGGGGCAGCTGGCCCGTGTGTGGAGCACACGTTCATTCTTTTTTCCTGTTTTGCTTCTCCCCTTCTCTCTTGGAAAAGACCTACCTCCCTACTTCTTACTATCTATTTCTTACTTTGCTCTTTATTTATATTCTGGATTATCTTATGGGAGAAACCATGTGCTGGCTAAGCGTGTGCTTCTGATTGATTTCAGGGAGCATTTTGGTCTCAGGACGCATCCATCTTCCTACAGTAACTCAAGGTTATCCTTCTTGGTGGGAGAGCAGTGCGCCACTGTGTGTGTGTGTGTGTGTGTGTGTGGCCATCAGAGAAGTGCAAATTAAAACAACACGGAGATTCCACCTTACTTAAAAAGAATAGCCACCAAGAAGTCCAGTAAGAACAGATGCTGCAAGGCTGCAGGGAAAGCGAAGGCCTTCTGTCGTGGTGGGGAGACTATAAGCTCGTAGGACCACTATGGAAATCAAACGATTTTGAAACACTTAAGGTAGAAATTCCACTTGGCCCAGCCCTTCCCCTTCTAGGCATCTTCCTAAAAGGACTGAAGACCCCACAGCATGGTCAGGCAGCTGACCCGCAGCATGGAGCAGTAGCTGGATCTTTAAAGCAGCCTCGGTGTCCGCCAGGAGACGATGCGTGGAGAGTTGTGCTTTTGCACACAGGCTCTGCTCTTTGCCAGAGCCCGAGCTCCTTCTGCTCACAAGAGTGTGGCTCTCACCGGCTGTGCCTCTTCCTCCCTGCAGGCAGACATAGACAGAGCTGTGCGGGCAGCCCGCCTGGCCTTCTCTCTTGGCTCAGTGTGGAGGAGGATGGATGCGTCCGAGCGAGGCCGCCTGCTGGACAAGCTGGCGGACTTGGTGGAGCGGGACCGAGCGATTCTTGCAGTAAGTAGCCTACACGAACAGTACGCCTGCGTCCCAAGTTCCCCTTCGCTGGAATTTGGGCTCCTTGTCTTCTTGGAAGCATGCTGTGGGCAGAAGTGGGGGGAAGGTGCGTGCACAGTGCTTGTGAAAAGTGAGTGAGGTTCAGGCTCAGGCAGCTCGGGCACGGAAGTGGGCGACCAGCGGCACGGCTCCTCTGACTGCGTTTTGAAGGAAGACTGTAGCTGGTAAGGACCTACGGCCAGCGAGGATCGTCTCTCCTCGTCTTCCACCCGCTCGGCAAGGCGGAACCTCGGGAGCAAGAGGAGATTCCCTAAGCTGGTTGCCAAAGACCGGGGCCAGGTGCTCCGCCTGGGATCAAGTGGGATGAGCGTGGCCGGGCCCAGGGCTGTGCCTCAGGGCTGCGGACTGCTCAGGGCTGTGGACTGCTCAGGGCTGCGGACTGCTCAGGGCAGACGGCGGGGTGTGAGCCTCTCACAGGCCCTGCTGTCTTTGTCCTCTTTTTCTAGAATCTAGACAAAAGAGAGCTGACATGGGACAGCAATACTTTTCACTACTTTTTTTTCGGACATAAGGAGCTGCTCCTGTCCTCATGGATTTTGTTATTGTTTCTGTTGCTGTTTTTAAAATTAAAAGGAAATCATTTCTTAGAGAATATGAATGTTTTAGAAATTGGAGCCACTGCGAGTGTGGGCACGGCTCGCCCCACGCCCACGCTGGTCAGGTGACGTTCAGGGACTCATCGTTCAGGGTGCTGGAGCCGTTCCCTCTGCCTGGGCAGGCAGCTCCCTGTGGGCTTGCTCTGGAGGAGGGTGTCCTTCCTGGCACTCCCTGCGGCCCTTTTCACTCTGCCCCAAACGGTTCCTTTATGGAACTGGCTTGGAGCCGAAGCTTACGCAGCGTGTCCCTGGCGCGAGAAACCTAGCAGCGTATTCTCACACCCTAGGAGAGAGGCGCTGTGTGCTGAGGGCACTCCTCCCCAGGGGCTCTGAGCCCCGAGGTGGGGAAGGCGCCCAGTGGTGCCTCTCTGGCTCACATGGCCTCAGCATTGCCTTTCTGGCAAGCCTGCCGTGGAAAGCTGAGTGCCTCAGGATTCCTCCCAGAGTGCGGGGTGTACGTCTGTCTCTTCTCCGCTGCTGTTTGCCCAAGAATCGGAGCTGTGCTTTGCTGTTTCCCTGATCAGCCTGGCGAGGTCCTGGCACACCGATGGCCAGTGAATGTCTGCCTGAGTCAGACTCACGCGGGGGGCGTTCACAGCGCCCGATCAGTGATGCGCTCTAGATGACATGGTTTAAGCCTGTAGTTATAGCTTCCTGTCGTAAAACTCAGATGCCCCCTTCCCGCCCGGTGTCTCCCTGAGATCAAGGTGTTTCCCCCCACGTGTGCAGACACCACTCTGATTTAGAGACCCTCCCAAAATACAGGCGGGGCGAACCCAGGAAGATGTAGCACAAAAGGGAGCCCAGGGTGGAGGCAGATGCAAGTCGCCACTGTCCCCAAGGGCAGCACGTGGGCGAACAGGCCTGGGGCCGGCGGGTCTCAGAGGAGTCCCCTCTGTCAGCGGCCCCTGGAGGCCGCTGAGGTGGCCCAGATTCCAGGGATGCCTCCTTCATCCTGTGGCTTGTGGAGTTTGAGTCTGTGGCGGCTCCTGGAATAGGTAGTGGCACCCAGTGAGCGTAGACGTGCTCAGGGAAGCGCTGGGAAGAGGTCTGATTCCTTTTAGCAAAGGTGAGCCCAGATGCAGCGGCACAGGTAGGAGGTGGCGCACAGAGCTGCCGTCTCCTTCGCAGGGGCGTCTTGGCTCTGTGGGCGTCACAGAATTTTTATACCAGTATGTGATACAAGATTTTCTTATAAGGACAAGAAATGGCAAGCACATGCCCGTGTCTATTTCATTTGTTAAAACTGAAATACTTTTCCTATCTCTCAGGTGAAAATGCTCTTATTTTATTGTACTGATTGTCACAGCTTTGGTTATAGGCTTAGTCAGTTGAGGAGCACACCATTAAAATAATGTTCATAATGTAAATCTGTTTAATATTGTTGTTTTTATTAAATGGACCAGATACTTAATTCTCAGTAGATAATGGTTGTTAACATAAATGTTTACAAAAGCCAGTCTTTAACTTGCTAACGGCTTCCCCAGAGGAGATCTTGTTTGGGGTAATAAATAAGCTGGATGGGCACCGGGCCTGTTCCATTTCTCAGCAGGGGCCTTGGCGGCTGTGGAAACAGTTTATTTCTCATCAATGGCATGAAGAGCTCATGGCCCTTTTTTCTCTTTACAGATTTAAATGACTGGTGGAGACCAAAAAATATCCATTCAGCTATGGCCATTAATGTAACAGAAACCAGGCTCAGATAGGCAGAGCGTTTCTTTATCATCAGTTGTGTTTCTGTGTTGGACAGTGATTCCCGGAAGCCCACAAGCACAAGAACACACGTGCACACACACACATGTGCACACACACATCCCAGCTGTTGTTTTTACAAGAAACAAATGCAACTAAACTTATAGTCCTAGAGGGCCCTTAACTTGGGAAGCAGAGTGGAGCCGGTGTCCACTGCGGTCAGATGCATTCACATTCCCTTGCTTCCTTTTCTTTGTTTCAGAAACGAGTGCGTTGCACGAAGTTCTTGGCACTTACTCCCTCTCCCTGTCTTTTCCTACAGACCATGGAGTCCCTCAACGGTGGCAAACCGTTCCTCCAAGCGTTTTACGTGGATTTGCAGGGCGTCATCAAAACCCTTCGGTATTACGCAGGCTGGGCTGATAAAATCCACGGCATGACCATTCCAGTAGGTAGGTGCATGCTGCGGGTTTTGAAAAGGGGACTGTGACGGACCAACAGAAACACACTTTACCACCAGGCACGGGCAGCAGCCACGGTAATAGGGACCCAAGTCACTTTGAGCAGCTTAAACCAAGCCAAGAGCCAAACAAATGGTGCCACCTTGCCAGTGTCATTCTCTCTACAGATCAGCAGTCTCCGTGTAAGTGCGTGGCCACAAGCCGCTTATATCTGTGTACCAATCAGCTAAGGATCAGCTGTACATGTTTGTCTGCTGCTGGTGCTGGGTTAGGTGCTAGGGGTACAGAGGAGAGGGCGCAAGGGTGAGCCTGGGAAAGTCCCAAGAAAATTAGGACCTAGCCCTTGCCTCCTGGAACATAAAAGTTCTCCTCTTTAAAAGGGAATACCCTAGAATATTAAAAGCTGTGTCTTGAAGTGGTGGGATTATAGGTAATTTTTCATTTCTTCTTTATATTTTCCATATTTCCTATAACGAATACACATTACTTTCATAATCTATAAAACCAATCTTCCTGACTTCTTTCTTTATATGTTATTAAGATCCATCCAGATCAAACCACCTCCACAAAACCATGACAAGGCTCTGCAAGGGAGTTAAACAGAGCTACCCTATTAGGTCAGCACGGAGTGAGCCAGAAAGTTCTCGGAAGTGGGGTGGTGGATGGGAGCCCTGGGGTGAGCTGGAGTCCTAGTGGTGTTGCCCACTACACACCTGCACAGCAACCCCAAGAGCAAGGGCCACCCCAGCTGGCCGGGAGGAAGCTGGAGGCTAGAGAGGCTGGACAGTTTTCCTAATCCACACGCTAGTCTGTTTTGGAGCTCCATTCTGGCCCAGCAGCCCTGGCTCTTAATCACCTCCCTGGAGGATTCATGTAAGCTGCTGGGTGGCAGGAGCAGCGGGATGATGTGGAGGCAGCAAGCCTCAGCGTGTTCTGTCCTTCCGTGCTCAGCGCGTCCAGCTGGACCAAAGCTGCGGGGTCACAGGAGGAGGCAGGCAGGGGCAGGAGGCCCAGCTGTTGGCTCACTTTCCTTGGGTTTGCTCCATCAGTCCACTTTTGTGTGTTTCTAAGTCCACATTTAACACCAGCTTGACGCTGTCTTTGTATCCTGGACCTTGTCCCACAGAGGGATGGAGATCTCAGCGAGGCTGTTGGCCCTTAACCATACGGCTGCATTGTGTGTCGTGCATTTCTCTGCAAGGAAAAGCTCTGTTCTTATACTTGGGGTGGTGATCCAGATCCGCAGTGTGCTGACACAGCTCCTCAGCGTGAGACGTGATCTTGCACGCGTAAGAGCTAGCGGTTCTGTGTGTGATCCTGAGGTGTGCTGAACTGGAGAAGCCGTGCCCCACGTCCCAGGTAAGATGCCGAGCAGGAAGCAGCTAGTGTCTTGAGCAACGCCATGTGGCCAGTGAGTGAAAGGATTTAGGTCCAAGCCCAAGTCCCTTCTCCTTAGAGAATGCGTTGTAAACTTTAGTATGTCCTGCGACCTCTGCAGCATTTTTGGTCAATGTGCAGTTGGTTCTGATTTTTCAGTCGTGTTCTGTAAAGTTGTCACAGGCACTGAATTCACAAATTCTGGACTGCTGCTCCTAGCCTGCATGCCCGACCAGGAGCCGGCGAGCATTTGCACAGAGCATTTTTGTCCGCCATTCACAGCGTGAGTTTGTTTTGTGTGTGTTTTCTCGAAAGCCCCTTTCTTTCATATGCATTTCTGCACATGCGCACTGAATTCATGGCGAGCCCACCGGCAGCTTGTACACAAATACCCGTAACACAGCTCGGGGCTCCAGCAGTACTTCTGCGGGGTGCTCAGGAGCCCTTAGAGCAGGATCATAGGCAAATCCACAAAAGCAGGAGAACGTGGTACTAAAGAAATCACAAAAATGTGGGAGTTAAGGCACGAATTCGGGGCATCACCTTGTGCAGCTTCCACTGAGGTCAAATGTCAGGAGCGAGGCAGACTGCTTTCCTGGACGTGATTGTGCAGTGCTGTAGGCACTGGTTTTGGGGTCGCTGTAGCAAGCAGGCCAGTTCCCCAGTCTGGAATCGATGACTGACCAGGTGGAGACCGTTTTGGCAGGGAGGCGCTTACTAATGTCACGCGTTCTGGAGCACGTGTGGCTGTGGGTCCCCTGGCTGTGTCATGCGGTTAAAGTGGCTTTCACAGTGAGCGTTTGGGAGGAAAGGCACCCAGATGTGGCTGGCCACCCACCAAAAGTAATCTGCAAAATGTTTTTACATTAAAAACCTTCACGTTGCTTTTCAACACTGAATGGCATGATAGCTCATGTAGCTTGCGTCTCTCACCCTAGAGGATAAGAACCGCAGGGGTGGGGAGAGTCGTGTCACTGTTCCCCCTTTACACTGAGGGAGGCTGCAGGAGGGGACCCTGAGGTGGAGGAGGGCTTCCCCCCCGCGCCGCCCTGGCCTCCTGCCGCTCACTGCCCACTTACTCGCTGCTCGCGCAGACGTCTTCGGGCCTCTGCTGGGCCCTGAGCATGCAAAGTGGAGGAGTGGCCCGGTCGAGGCGAGGCATGAAGTTCAACAACTCGGCGTCGTGTGTTCCTGGGGAGAGAGGGGAGCCCGTCCCATCTGCCCCAGATCCGCATCCCTGTACTGGGAGGTGAGATGGAGAGGAGTGGTGTGGGGAGGAGAGCACCGTGTGCCTCGGGGTTAAGGAGGCTCAGAGTTGCTGTCAGTTTACTGAGGGGGAAATGGAGCTAAAGGGCCCTGTGACCTCAGGGCTTTCTGTGCATTGAGTGCTGATTTGGTGGCATTAGAGAAGATATGTCATGCTTTAAGCTGAATGCTGACCTAACACAGTCTTAGGATATATTAGCACGTGGAAAATGTGAAGGGCGCGCAGGGCACATGTGTTACTTCTGTTTCTTTCCGCTTGTTCCAGTCGAACCTGTTAGAGACTAAGCTAAATGGCTGCACAGGTCCTGACCGGGACCCTGAGGCTTGCCCTTCAGCCCTCCCGCTTGGGGTCTATGTGCTCAGCTGTGAACACGCAGGGGGAGAGCTGAGATCTGGTCCAGCCTGAGTGGCAGTGAGAAGCTGAGTGTCCTGCCACCTGAGGGGACATGCTGTCACCAGCAGAACCTGACGTGGTAGTGACAAGTGCTCTTGGAGCAGCCTCACCGGAACCTCTGTGAGAGTCCGCAGTTGAAACGGACCTCGGGGACCCAGAAAGCCAGGCTCTTCGTTTTGTAGAAGGAGAAACCAAGTCCAAGAAGTAATGGGCCTTTTAGAGGGTGCGTAACATAATGATGTTAGGGCAGACAGCCCCAGGACAGCCTCAGCACGGCGTGCCCTGACTTCTTAGAACCTGCACACTGCTGGCAAGAACAGCTTCAGGCCTCTCCAGGCCAATGGGAAGTCTCACCATGGAGCAAGCTTTTCACAGAATTTGTCACTATAAAATGTTCAGAGAGGTCTGCAGTGGCGGCACACACAGAGACCGGTGAGGGCGCCCAATGGAGCGGTGCGTTGGGCCTGGTCTGCTGCTCTAATGCCAGGTTATCAGGAGTGCCGGCTCCTCGGAAGGTAATTCTGTGTGCAGATGAGAGGGGGCAGTGATGCTCTCGTCACTGAATTAAGTGACAGGTTTTCGTGTCATTGGATAAACCCAGTGGTATGGTGAATAGGTGTGCACAACTTGCTACCGTTCTTGAAATGCTCTTAAGGTGGCAACCAGGAGCTAGTAGTATTCTCCTCGATTTCTGGTGAATTTTGGAATGCGTTATAGTCTTTAATCTTTCCTGACTTTACTGAGTATACAGATTTCTCACCACATTCTCACTAGTTTGTGTGTTTAATGTGCCAATGTCAGATATTCTTATGAGAATAAAAATCATGTCAAATTTTTCCCAGCTACTGTAACATCTGTCTTTAGCAGTGAGGCTTACCTTGAAGAACTTACAGAAATGCTTATTTTTAAAATTTGCACAAATATTGCTTTGTGTCTTGCATGGTGTGGTCACGCAGGGCAGTGGTCAGTGTTCACGGCTGCAGCAGACCCTCGTCCTGTTGTGAGCTCTAGGGACAAAGCCTGCTCTCAGTACAGTGACAGAAACGGCCCAGCTCACAACCACTCAGTAAAATTTAATCCACAGTCCAGTCAGCTTTACAGTATAAGGAGCATTCAACTGCAAGATCTTTATATCCTTCATGAGATGAAAACTATTTTTTGCTCATTGCAAGTACAAAGGTGTAAAAAGCACATCAGAATGTGTTTAATTCTGGCTGTGTCTTAATAGGTTCCCTTCAATGGTCTATTCCTATTACTCTTTAAGATCTTTGTTTATATTCATCACCTCTGTGCTGCCGGGACAAATTGCCTGACTCCTAGGATTAGAGGGGGAGATTCATGTTGGCTCACGGTTCCCAAGGATGCAGTCCATGGTCAGCTGGCTCCAAGGCAGAGTGGCCGTGGTGGGGAGAGCTGCTCACCCCAGCTGGGGAGCAGATGGGAGGGGTGAGCGGGGACAAGAGTAGTGGGGCCCCTTCTAGGTCACAGCCCAAACAAGCTTCTTCCTCCGGGGCCCATCCCTGAAACTACAGGGGGGCATTTAAGATTTAAAGGATGACCTCTTTCTTAAGTGAAAGGGAAGAGACACTGCAAGAATGTCTCCACATATGATTTGGTCTGCTTTGGGATTCATTGCTACTTTAGGTTTCTCTGCAACAGTTTGTTCTAAAGTATTGACTCAGAATGTGAGACTGAGATCATTTGCCTGGCAGCCTTGTCTCTCTTGCTGAGCCTAAGTTCTGGCTGGGAGAAGATCTAATGCGTCTTAGCCTCAGGACTTGAGTTAGGCTGGAAACTGGTTTATGTCAAGCTTTCAAACTTACACCACAAAGAGATGAAGACAGTGACCTTGGAAGTCACCCTGCCATGGAGGGTATCTTCAGCACAGAGCTGGACCAATGGGCTGCAGGCTTTTCTTCTAGACAGAGAAGAGCACTCACAGTACACGTCACCA